AACGGACACGAAAATGATTTAAAAACGAACACATGTAGTGTGTTGAGTAATAACATAAATGTAAAAACCATAAGCACGTTTTCCATTAAAAAAAAAAATAATAATAATAAAATGACATATTACAATAATAATTGTCATGTAAATATGGTATAGTGCAGATTACATGGCATCCGCGTTCATTGACGTGATTTATTTATTCATTTGTCAATATTGTCGTAAGTGCTTAATCACAATAATAATAATGTATTTCCAGTGGTTAAATAAAAAAAAATCGTGCTGCCAGCAAACACTCCTAACTCCGATTAAAGCAACCAATAACTGCAACCGATTGATGCGACCACTTCGATTGTTAAGGTACGTAAATTATTTTTCGTAGTCAAGATTTGTATGACGCGTCGAATTACACACTCGCAATCAACAAACGTCTTTAAATATTATTATTTTTTTTTTTTTCATGAGAAAAACAAAATGTATTTAAGCATACAACAAGCGTAGCACATTTACAAAAGAGGGGAAAATAACATTATTAGGTTACGATTAAAGAGCCATTTGTTAATTTGGAACTTAACTTGGCATTGATGCGTTAGAACTGTTCGTGGATTAAATTAGAAGATCATAACATAATATTCTTTTAAATTTATGACGAAAAATTACAGGAAGTGAAGGAATATGAAAGCCGTTTACCAATGAATTTCAATGATTTTCTCACCTAATAAATAAACTTTATAAAATATTATTGCTTCTTCCTTAATTGTTTTAATGTTAATGTTTTTTTGAAAACAAATAAAAGAGCATTTATTATCTTTGAAAAACCTGAATAATGTTTAAATTTTATTTCTAAGCCGATCTCCACAATCTGAATTTCATATTGGCTTAAGAAGCATTTTATATATTAATAATTTAACTTTAAAGTTATAAAACTAATTATTACACAAATAAAAAACATTAAACACAATAGAGTAATATACGTAATCAGATAGACGTAATTTATATTTTAACAATAATAATTTGACGGTCTTACAGTTTTTGAAATCAAAAACAATTACTATCTACAGAGTCATATTATGGAGGCGATTTTAAACAGGATAGTCAAAAGTTATCTCTAAGCATCCCCGTATCTCTCAACTGTAAATAGCACAAAAATTATTCAAAATTTATGTTTAGTGAATTTCTAAACAAAATTTCACATCTTGACGGTTGTTACTTATTACTAGTTACCTGTTACGCACTTACGTGTAAAAAAAAAAAAATGAGTAAAAAATACCAAGCCTACGGTTTGCATTCTGGACATACAGTTTTATAACTATATTTATATAGTACTATTAAAAAATATTTTGTCTAGTTAATATTTTTAGCATATAATTTTACATTTTAAATAAATATAAAACATTAATTTTTAACAATTGGATTTCAAAACGTTGATAATAATACTTACAAGTACGATTTTAAGTTATCAACAATAATTCAAAGTTTACTATGACATGACACTTAAAAGACATGTATATATATATATAGGGGGACAAGAATTAAATCACAATAAATGTTTATAATTCAGCCTTACTATTACTTTAATACTATCATCGTTTAGACATGATCATTGTCCCCTGTTCATTCTCATCAGTTTCAGACCACGAGTGCAAACTTCGTCCTTAAACGTTTTAAATCATACCTTTAAGTTTTTTTTTATTATTTTATATGTATTAACAATCTGTAATATAATAAAACAATAAGTCAATTTGATATTTTTTTTTTTTTTTTTGTACAAAGTTTGGACGCTTGAGTAAAGGAGGCGTCCATTAACACCACTTCAAACTATTTTTATTTTTATTTATTTATTTAACGAAGTAAATCACGAGGCCAATTGCGTTTTAATCGACGGGAAGGGTTACCAGGGAGAGACTTAGAGGAGAGGTTTGAAATTAGAGGGTTTAAATGATTATTAGTATTAGAATGAAATATTTTATAGTGTACAAGGGCGATGGTGTAAATAGTTGGAATGTTTAGGTCTTTATGGATTGTATAATTACTAACATACCAAGGTGCATTTGTCAGAAGACGAAGACTAATCGACTGAAAACATTGGAGAAGATTTAAATTTGAATTTTTGGTCGAGTACCAGATTTGAATTCCGTATGTCAATACAAGACGAATTAATATTGTTTGTATAGGTCCAAGTGTTTTGTCACTAAGTAAAATTTTAAAACGGAGAAGTTATTGAAGTTTATGTTATTTTAGTTTCATTGATTTTCTTTTGGTTTTGATGTGAGTGGCCCGTGTTAATCTTTGGTCAAGATGAATACCTAAATATTTTACTGAACTTTCTTTGGAAATAGTTTCGTTGTTGAGTGTAACCGAGAGGCTGTTATTGGAATGAAGTATAAATATGATGTATGATGATTTATTTTCGTATACTTTAATTCTCCAAAGATTAAGCCAATTTTGTCGGTCATTCAGATAAGATTGAAGATTTTCCGTCGCAGTGTATATATTTGGGTCAAAATATACTACGCATGTGTCATCGAAAAAAGTAGCTAGACTAGTAAGGTTAGATTGAGGAACATCAGATGTTTAAATATTATAAAGCGTAGGAGCAAGAATGCTTTTTTGGGGTACACCTGATTTTGCAATGTGAGTATCGGAGAATTCGTTTTCACAAGCGCACTTGGAAAGTACTATTACAGAGATATGAGTTAATAGTAAAGTAGAGAGGAGCAGGAAGAAATCGGGTTTTGTAGAGAAGTCGTACCCACAAATTAAGTAAATACTCTTAACACGCTTACATAAATGAACTCCATTATTCCTATGACTAAATGGCCTAGAAAAAAAAACCAAAACAATATTATAATTCGGAAATTTCGATCAAGAAAAAGAATTTTGATGGAGACAGTTAAAGTTGATATTCTTGACAGTCGATCGCCGCGCTATACGTGAAATATGAACACATAATAATATGATAGTTTATAATAATAATAATATACTTTACTATTATTGCAACCGTCGCAAAACGCGTTTGCGTCGTCTTCGGCGACCGCGACACCGTTTGATAGCGTGTACCTATTATCGATTCTATTGCCTATTGTACACGCGACGACAAATAAATAAATAATATTACGATTATTAACGATCACGATTTATTGTGCGCTGGCGAAACTCGGCGCGATATTGTCACGATTTATTATCCGCGTCCTATTATATTTGCACGCGCGTTACACTTATTAAATGATTTTCAATCGTCGCTACTTGTAATTATCACCGTTAAATACCGCATTTTCAAATGTAAACACACACATTTACACTATGTACACCTAGCCGTTATTACTTTTAATCGCATTACACGCATGTCCGAGAGACGCTGCAGGGATTGCAGAAATTTTCACGATTTCGTAAGCGCGTGTTTTGGTATGATGAGATAAAAATTTGGGTGCAACACGATTAACACGACTGCGAACGTTTTACCTTTTTTTATAACGCGATTGCGAACGAATGTCGCTTATAAAAAAAAAATTTTTTTAGCCGAAAAACGAACGAATGCGAACGTTTTTATAGGCTACGTTGCCAATTTTATAATTTCTGAATATGTTTTATTTTTGTCGGAAATTCAATTAAATTTTTTTTTTTAATAAAAACTATTCGATATGAATAATACAATGCTACATTAAAATTACATTACAAACTAAAATAAAATTATACAAAATAATATAAAGTGTTTAAAATGTTGATTGATTAAAATAATTTCGGAGTATAAATATTAATAATACTGTTACATAATAAACTGAAAAAAATTAAAAAAATAATAGCTTTTCTACATTTTTTTTTTTTTCATTTTTTCTTATTTAGGAATTTCCAGTTTTTTGTAAATATAAAATTAAATCCTTGTGGATTTTATAAATTATATTCATCATCATTTTTTAATGTTGATTTAATTTTAGATTTATCTCTTTAGGCCATATGGTTATGTAAATTGTTTTGATTTTTGATAGCGTAATAGCAGAAAACCCTCATACCTATTATTTAATAATTATTTTAAAAATAATTATTTAAAAATTTGTAATTGACTTACACCAAATCAGCAAACACCGCACGATTAAAAGCAAGTAATGCAAATCGTTGCAAAATGTTCGCAATCGTGCTACGGGATAAGGTCTGTTCGTAATCGTATATCACCCAAAAATTTAAGGTTAAGTACCATTAAATCGATTTTTAAAATTATAAAACCCGGGTTTTGGTTAATTGGTAATAGCATACATGGTATTACCAATATTACTTTTATAAAAATTACATAAAACAATGTATAATAACTGTCTGAATATTATTATATTTATCCTATAATTAATTTAAACATTTATTTTGGTCACAAAATAAAAGTACCTATATGTAATATTTAGTATGAAAAATTAAACTGTGTAACACCTACTAAAATATGTTTTAAAATTGTAAAATTGCATTACTAAAAGTAAATAAAGTAATTTTTCCCATAGGATTTACTTTATTAAAAGTTAAATAAAATGAGGTTCCGATATGAAGTGACATTTTCATTAACCGAACCTTAACTATGTGCCAACAAAACTGTAATTTATTTCAAATTATATACATTTAATGATAACCGGAATCTAAATAACTTAAAATAAAATATAAACAGACAAAGACAAAAATATATATATTTTGCTTTTATGACCAAAATAAATGTATAAATTAAGTTTTTATTTTAGAATAATACATACGTTATAATGCATAAAAGTATTTCAATTTTACAGTCGGAAGGTGTTTTTTTTAAATCTTAAAAATTCAAGTCTGAAATACCAATATTAATTAAAACCATAATTTCTAATTTTGAAAATCTACACGTATAGGTATAATAATACCTAATTATAAACAAGTAAATTTTTAAAAATTAAAAAAACTATTTTTTAACACAACCAAAATTAACATCAAAAATTTAAATATAATATATTTTACTTATTATAACATTTTTAGACAATTTAAATAATTGTATGCTATTGTCTTCTTTTAGAATAGTATTTTATACAATATAATAAAATCTTAGTAGTTAAAATATTTACTCATACTTGATTGGGATATGTCCAATTACCACATCGGCATAAATTAAATTAATAATTACAATTACATCATATTATAAACTATGAGCCATTTTAGGAAATAAATCAAAAAAAAAAAAAAAATTCAAAACGTCTTTTTGTCAATACATTGCCATTTTTCATTTTTTTTTTTCGACAACAGAAACTCTAAAACCAAAAAATTACAAATTTATAGGTTTATATATTTTTTTAACAATTCGTTTGGGCGACAATTCACGAATCTATATGAAGCGCGTTTCTTAGTTCTGATTTCTGACGACCTTTGTTTATTGAGACAGTTGATATGACAGCTGCTTCGTTTTATACATTAAAATATATAATCTTCTCCTCCGCATCCGTTGCAGACGAGATCGATCCATTAACAGTCGTCGTATAATATAGTCGCGTGCAAGTAAATCGTCATTTACCCTGTAACTGTAGAGCATAATAATAATAATAATTAATAAAATAATAACAGCAACAAAACGCAACAATAATTTCATAAAATATATGATATGTTGTTTTCAAAGACATCCGACAAATCAAAAGATTACAAACAGTACCTATTATTATTATTTTTGTGATTTTTAAATCATCTGATTTATTATAACATTATATTATCTTTTCTATCTTTTATTATCACCCTGCGGGTCGTCTGTGTGATATAATATATAATAATATAACCCTGCACATTGTACGCCATAAACCAATACATATATATATATACAACATATACGTTTATATGCTTTATAATCGGATTTTTATACTACAGAACGTAATAAATAAAAAATAAAACATCTTTCCTTCATTTTCAAAACACGCATTGCGTAATCCAAATACATTTTTTTTTGGTTTTTTCTTTTTTATGTCGTCGTAAACGTTGCACTCGATCCGACGAAACACGCGAAGACCCGGACGGCGGCCAATCTACATAGTACAATATATTATTATACACCCTAAACTATACTAGTATATTATATTATATTATTATATATCACTGTTGAGCAACATCCGCTTTTACTTTTACGAAGGTCACCTTACTACCTATATCTACCTCATCTATCCGTAATAGTCATTCCACGACCCCCTATGGATCATTTATTATTACATCGTATTAATAATAAACGATAACGTATTATAATAAAATGTATAGTTTCTTTCCCGGACAGTTGTAAAATAAACAAAAATTAACTATACTGCATATATCTTGACGTCGACTTGATACATTCCCGACATCTACATCATATAAAATTTGTATATACACAAAATTATCATTTACACCGTCTTAACTTTCAGTATACTATGACAGAATTTGATAAATGTCTAATATATTAATGTTACATTCATTCGACGCTATACACAAAATTAATACACGAATATTTCAGTAATCTAATAAAACCAGCGACTAGTAGCGTGAAATCAAAATCGCTAAATACAATATTCTCATACCAAAGTTCCGGCAAGGTCGATTCGGCATTTGATCACCTTAATTGATAAACACGATTTGTGACGCAATCTATAGAGCCATGTGGCCGTTATTAGACGACTATAAAATATTAAAACCAAACAATAAACATGCTGTACTATAATATTATAGTGGACCATTAAACATGTTCGTATAGTGTCATCGGATTAAATATAGATGTGTGAATGCGTGGAAAGCAAAAAAAATTCCTCGGCACTACGCCGCATCGGGTAGACGACAGAATAAATTTGTAATACGCGGAATCATGATATTATGTATTTATATATATTACGTCTACTCTACGTTAGCAATGCAATCATCATCGTCGTTTTAAATTGTATAAAAATATGTATAATATATAATTTATAATAATTTTTACGGGGGATAACTCTCAAAGAATAATAACGCACGAGCAAAGCGTGAAATTATATTTTAATAATTTATTTTAAATTAAATAAACGCTGTCCTTGTAAGAACTAGCAATCCAACAATAAAAAAATTAAATTAAAAATGAGTTATTTTTAATTTTTTTTAATTTTATGTTATATTCATAAATACGACTCTTAGTAGTGTAATATGATCAATCGACAAATATTAACCATTTCTAATTGTTTATGTGCAAATTTGATCGAAAAGTTTTTAATTTAATCTACTTGATAAAATTTACCATAAAATACAGATTACTTTGATCTTAAAGAAACATCAAAAAACAAATGCTATGATAATATAATAACTTAATATGTAAAAGAAGGTGTTATTAGAGTAAAGATGAAAAAATATTTTCATAAACGTGATATTGCTTTGAATTTGTTTTTATTCGTTTACTTGCTTTTATTTTTTATTATTATAATATTAAAATTTCTCAATAGAAAAATGGTATTCAAGAATGCCGAACGATAGTAGCAGTCTCCTGTGATGGATCCATTGTAATGTAGTATAATATCTACATGTTTGTCACATTTTTATTCACATCAATTGTTATATTCGGGAACAACAACAATATAATTATATGTTTAAAAAGAATAATGAAACCCAAACTAGGAAATCAAATTAAAACCGCGGCAAATTCGTTTGAAAAAAAATCTGACGACAATATTTATACACATAATAATAACATGAACGATATAGTATATTCTTTTAGAACGATATTTCTGTAACAGTACCTATTCTACGTACTAATATTATACAGGTGGAAAAAGAGTACGCCGACAATGGTGGACTGCGAAATGGACAACTATCTGATGGTATTAGTGCGGAAAATAATAATATACTTATAAAACGACATGCAATGTCAAACTTTTGATCAATCACATTTTGACCATTTTTAATAAAAAAAATAAAAACATTAGTTGAACAGTATGTATAAAGTGTAGGGAGACAAAATGATCACTCGTCAAACCACTGATAAGTATAAAGATTATTAATACTCAAACCTTAGTACCAACACTACGGTAGTGGTACTTATATTATATATAGTATAACTAACGTTAACGTTCGGGTGTATACCCTTCAAACGTGATAAAATATAAAACGAAATATGTCACGACAATATATTATATATATATATATATATATATCGTATATAATATTATGTACATCAAGTAAACGGGTGATAAAACATAAATTAAAATTATGGTTTGGTAATAATAACAGTGTGGTATAAGGGGTTTGGGGTTCAACTGCACGAAATGTATGGTTGGTATTGGCCTTGATTTTGATTGTTATAATATTATATCATATTATTTAATATTATTATTATTATTATTATATAATGTCAGGATTTCTATGAAATACTACAAGATAACGACGCGTCGTAAGTCATGACGGACCGCTGCGAGTCGTCGACGGTCTATATACATATAATATATAGTTAGTATAGAAGTCTGTGTTCAATATACGACGATAATCTAAAGACGAAATTATCAATATTATTATTTCTTATTATTTGGTTGTTAATTATTATGAAGAACCAGACAAACAAAATTTAGTTTGTTTTCGGACGTCAGTTGTTTCGTTAAGTGTCGCGTGTGTAACAAAATATTAATTATTAAATATGGCATCACAACCTTCATTATTACATTTTTTTAATAAAAAAGTAGCTGTGACTGAACCTGAAAAACATGATGATAATCCTTGTTCATTCACTACTATCAATAATAGCAAAATTGATAGTAATACTGATTTAAATGAATTAAATGTCTATAATTATTAAAATAAAGTTAGTTTATAATATTGATTAGGTAAATAAATTTTTTTAACCCCCCCCCCCCCCCGAAATTAATTTCTATATACGCCACTGATAATGAAACAGCTACATTACAGACGATGTCGTCGAGGCGAACTTTGTTTTAAGAAATCGCCTTATTCGTTCTAGTTTCCCCTGTCGCTTCAGAGAAATGGTAATAAATTGGTGGTCAAATTTTGGACAATAATCAAATTATTTTGTATATTTATAAACCTAAATGTCATTTTATTTTAGCCAAAATCTATATCCTAGATTATTTTGATAGTATTATACAAATTTTAATATTTTATGACGATACACAATTAAGTCGACTCGATTCAACGAAAAACAGAATAAACATCGTTTATTATAAATAGTTAAAAATTATAATAAACGGTAGTATATTATTACACTTCTTAAAACTTTCTACGAGATAGTAGGTACTTACTACTTCTTATTAACAAAAATTAAAAAAATTTCAGTGATCTGTGTACGTTAATAAGTACAAGTGTTAGGTATAATCAGCAAAGCTGGTTAAACTATAAGAAACTAAGAATTATTTGATTGAGAAAAAATTTTCCACCTATTCAAAGTGTTTTGTTTCAGTTCTGCAGACGAGGGAAAAATCGTCAACAGTCGTCGTAAAAATGACATTATTAATATTATTGTTGTTGTATCACACACGCGCGACATCATTACATACGCGGTGATCGTACCAGATGTAAGAAAATTTTTACCATATGGCATGGTGCAAATCATACCTCGCACTACATTATATTTATAAAACTCATACATTGCCACGCGTCCAAGAATTATAGTATAGAAACAAGGGTCTCTGTGTTAAATTCGCTAATGGACACCGTACCAAACGTTATTCCGGGAAAACGTTAAGCAATTTCAAATAATCGTTTCCGTTTGTGCGGAGTATGCGTTGTCCCGGAAACATGTTTATAAGACGAAACCCTCGATATGTATATACATGACGTGTGTCATTGATATCGTTCCAAATGAAAAAAATCATTTTATTATTATTTAAACGCCCAAACATCAAAAAGCTCGGCATCGCGAATTACTGTATATATTATGACAATAAAAAACGTTCCTTAATAGCATGATCGTAAACGCTGAAATCGACTCGCTAATCGCGATACTCGCTCAAAAATAACTTTTTCGCGCAAACCGAAACCGGTGCCAGTTCAGTCCGTTCGTGCTGCAACGATAAATTCACTAAAATACCATATCGTTTCCACAAGAGTGAACATCATATATTATAATATATAATAATATTAACAATAATAATAAACCCGTATGTAACGACGTAACAGTTGTACAAACATTTTAGAAAACTGACAAAATAATATGTATCGTTGTCGAGAAAAAATTGCTATTTGACGAGACGCATAAATATTATATACCTATATCATAACTAACTGCAGTTGCGATTGGACGACTTCCAGTCTTTCCGTCCCGGAACGACTTTTGGTTGTGATACATAAATTTAAATTTACTCATAATTAGTGATTTTTTTTTCTTGATGACGTACGCATCAGTTCTTTTTGTTCAGGATCAATTTAGTGTTTTCACTATTTTATTTTATTTTTTTATCACGATGATTATTTTTTATGTTATACTAACAATGGTCCTCACTTTTGTTTTTATATTTACCGATAAACTCAATTAATTTAGTTACGTTTTTTTTTTCTTTTTTAACATCAAAGAAAATAAATGGTTTAATATATTATTTAAAAACCTTTAAGTAAATACATTTACCTACTCAATTTGATGGATTAAAATAGAGAAAGCTGCTTTAAGTTATTTAAATATTGATACTTAATAATTGTTATGAATATTCTGACCCGGAAATTTAAGAAATATGAATCTGTAGGTACAGTTTAAATTTTTTTGGAATAATTAATACTAAAAATACACTTAAAATAATCATCCGGTATAATTCTAGCTATACTCGTTAAACGCATACTCTGTAGTTTTTCAACTAAAAAAAACGTCATACGAATTTGAAAATGGATCTCAAGCAAAACGACATAGGTATTCACGTCAAAATATTTAATTCTCTACGAATATTTTATATATCATGAAAATTTGACTTTTTTATTTCACTGTAATAACCACTCGTTACGGTCCATTTTTGCACCTATGTTCGCATTACATATATTACGCATAGAAGACGAAAACCGTCGGGTTGTATCCCCGCGGTTAAGTTATTCGTTCGAATGCAACGCGCTGTTAATTGCTATAAATTACACACTCACACGAGTCGATTTCGTTTATCAGACCTTGATGAAGTTACTCTAATTACTCGTTTAACCGAATACAATAACGATATTTGGAACATAATATACACTCCGGCACACTTTTTTTCCGTCGATTGCGTTAATTCGGTGAGACGGATCTACTGCTAATAATGTATACATATATAATAATAATTTAGATAAAACAATACTCCGGAGTGAAAAGAAAACTACAGAATACGTATTAAACGTATTACCAACAGCACTGTTCAACAAAATACATAGTATTTTCGCGCGATACTCAGCAGTGAATAGAACTTGCATTGCTAAATAGTGATGTGTCAACGACGAAATAAATTGTCAACATTTTGTAATTTTAAAAAGTCGGATAATCCGTTAAATGGTTTAGTTAAAATATTGTCCATGTTCAATAGGTAAAATGTAAAAAAATAAACAGCTCTTCGATGACAAAAACAAAATTATATTTCTGACGGAAACAAATAAAAACTTTGTTTACGACTATATGATATAATATGATACGTTTGATATTTTCTGCAGTGGGTTATTTAGATGGAGTAGAGACCAACTATCTTCGCGACACCTGTAGTTGACTGTTAGTATAGAAATAATAACAATTATATTAATCTTATTTATTTTTTATCATCATAACAATTATCTACACACATGCTTGGAGAGGAAAAAATATACGTCCATAATTTAAAAAAAATAAATAAATTGATTCTTAACAACATGTATTGCTCAACCAAATGTTACGTGCGTCTATTATATACGTCTGTATACTAAACGTGTTTGCTTTGAATCAAGCGCCGTCCGACGTCAATATCTATCTATTGTAAAAACTTCTATGTCCACAGATACACATTTATTCACGCCGACTCGATAATAATAAATAATTATTGAAGAATGCGGCTACGGTTCAGTCCTTGGACTATTGTCACGATATACTTACAAACAAGCGTCTGTGGACTCGCACAGCATTTGAGCGTAATAATAACTCCTACTGTTGAACCGGTTTGGTGCTTAACCCCTTGAAAACCATATGGCTAGATAACTGTGAGGTATAATAAAGTTCGAGGCGAAATCATGAGACAAAAATATTTTGAAAACAATAAAATTGACATATATTGGTGAACCATGAACACAATAATAATAGCAGCTCCCTGAGCTCAGGGGCTGACGGTATTTGTCCTTTTTATGCACATTCATTAACTGCTCATAACTTTTCCTACTCCACGAAATCGACAAGGCTAAATTATAAAATTTAATGAATTTTTTACTGATGTATGAGCAAGTTCCTAGCTTAAACAATATGATCTTTGAGTAACCTGAGAATATTAACTTATCCGCAATATTACCATTAATAAAATCTAGAAGTTAATGACTTACACTCAGATAAAACACTTATAAGGATATAATTAAATTTAGTTAGAAATCTAAAAAAATCTAAAAAATAATACAGATATGTCACATTTCAAATTATAGGAATACGGTTATATGTACCTATATATATATATATATATAGGCATGTATTGAAAAACTTAATATCCTAATATAGACATTTTTTCCCCATAAACTTTTGTTCTTAAACAAATAAAAAAAACTTTGATGAAAATATCATTGTTTTATGACATAGAAAAGAATACCTGTAAATGTTATCGTGTAGTAAAAGCGTAATCCGTAGATGCACAAATGAAAACAGTTTAAAATATTTTGAAATCTCTAAGTGTCTTGTATTGTAGTACACGTACCTATATAATACAATATATTTAACTTTAGATACGTCCGTAACGTCACAATATAGAAAAAGAATATAATTGTAAAGCCTGTAATTTATTAACAACTGTCCATGTAAGGGAAAAAAACTATTTACTCATTATTGACATGATTAAACAAAGCAAATGAAAGAAATATATTTATTACGTACCGTGATAAAAAGAACTAACAATTCCATTTTACGCTTACGTATACATAAAAACAATAAAAGAATGCATTATTTTACAATATATACCTATATTAAATAGACCGCGTGGAATACAAAAGATGATCCAGGAGCTATCAGATTTAGACTGTGGCAAAAATAAAACGTAAAATTTCGGTCAAGACCCTTTTTTATGTTTTTTTATTATTATAAGATCTATTAATAAACCTTTATTCAGCTCCGGCTTGAATAAACACTATCGGTAGTCAGAACACAATGAATTCGAGACAAACAAAAAATTTAAAAAAACTAACACTTGTCATTCTCTGCCAACTGCTACGTATATATACTTTGGTAGGTAAATAATGTAGGTAAACACGGTAGAATAAATCTCGAAAAATTGTCATGAAAAATTCATTCTTAATAGTCTTTTTATTACTATCGATTTGGTAGTCATTTTCGTCATTAATCTATAATCTTATAAAACAAAAAATCAATTTATTCAACTGGAATTTGCTAGCTAGAAAATAGAAATAGATAATTTTTTACTCCAAATAAAATTATTTTAGTTGGAAGTACCAAAAGTTGCAATTACTTTTGATATAGTTGAACCGTTGAACGGGTAAACACTATAAATGTATGTAGTGTATAACAATACAATAAAATGAATCTGTGATAATGGTGCGCTTTCAGCGCTCAGCTAAATGTCGATTTTCAAAATAGAATCTTGAAATCTTGCAAATTAATATTACGGTGCATTTTATGGGTATGAGACATCGCAATGACGATATGAAAACATTGGCAATTATAAAATCCAAAATAAGAACAAGTATTTATTTTATCTCCACAAAATGAAAATTGATGTTTAGATAAAATTATATTCATAAAGTGTCTAAAAATCTAAAATTGTAATTGTTAGGAAGCAATCGCAGGAAATGGGGCAAGAATAAAAGCAATAATGATAGTAGACTTAAAAATATTTCCGAAAACGAACAATTATTATTATTTTAACGTTAAGTTCGCACGCCAAAAATACCGTTTCCTCCCAACATAATATAATAAAATTGCAATTTATTGCAATATTTTATACTGACCAAATATTACGTTTATTCGTCATTGATTTGAGCATAATATACTGTTGACTGGCTGTCACCACCGCCGTCATGCGTCCACCGTTCTGACCGTTGAGTTTTTGTTGTGGTACGCTTCCAGTCGGTGCGACAAATCGTGCACAATGTCTCTGAACACGACAGAATCAACGTTGTCGCCGAGAACATACAGCAGCATCCAATCGCCCAACTTCGATCGGCGCACAATGTTTCCGATGGCCTGCCGTTTGATCAACCGAAATCTTATGCAGAAAAGGTACACACGCATTCGCGGTGACACTATTATGATGAACCTATAAAACATGAAAGATTAAAAAAAGAACTAAGTGAAAAAAAATAAGTTTCTTTAGATTTTCTATGAAAAAATAATTGTTCAAACGTTTTATACCCTACGCCTAATCCATGCCGCAGACGACATGCGCTACTGCAGCATTTAAAATATATCAAACTTCATGTTTACCACAAATATGTTTATGACTAAAATCAAATCGTTCGATTTCCAAGTTAATATTAATTATAAAACTGAGCAGGTAGTGGGATTATCCAGAACATAGTTTGTCCAAAAAACTTGAAATATTTTTTTTTCTTTTTCTTTTCATTTCAATAAAATGTATTCTCTACAGTAATAAAAACTACACACGTCATTGAAATTAAATTATACGCTCTTACGCTTGACATCTATTAGATCAAAGCACAGTTCACCGCATTAGGTTCATATTATACATATATTGGTATATATTTATTATGCGCTATTGCAATAGAGCATATGAGTGTATATTATTATCTTCTCATTGGTATTAATAATATATAATTAATAATATATGCTTAAAGAACCTGTGCAAAACGGTAATACTTATACATGTTATGTATCAAATTTTAATATTTATAATATTATTACTGTTATTATTACGACGTATCCGATATATTTTGTTTTAATTAAAAAGTAAAAACACTAAATCGAGAATCGTGTGCATTATTATTATTTTCGTTTTCACGTCGACAGTTCTATTTGAACAGCAGTCAACGTAAAAACAATAAGTCATCGGTTGATGTGTTTTTTCCTGAAGCTAGAGAAAACAACTGCTATACTAATCATTACCTAGACCAACAAACGATATAAATATATATGTATAATAATATTGTTACACATTTCCTAGCGTGCAGCTTCGTTAACGAAATAAAATAAAATGAACGCTAATCTAATTATTACAACTTTCGGATGGATACGCTCTAAAGAGTCGCGTATAAAATATTTTCTCTCAAATATTTGTTTTCAGTTTTAAACACATTAACCTAAAACGGTAATTTTTAATTAGTAAAAATGTGTGAGCTGAAAAATTTACACAAAATACAACTTTGTGTATCTGTATAAGTATTTCATCTGCTATCAAGCCCAAATAATATAGGTAAAAAATAGTATCAATTATTAACATAATTACTGTAGTACCATATCATATTAATTATATTAGACTTAAATCAAAATTTCATACTTAGGTATACTATTGTATACAGAAACGAATTTTTGCATATAAATAACATTATTTGTTATTAATTTATTTTTAAGGACGTTGGGGTTAACCTAACCTAACGCGATTGTATACTTTGTTTTATTTTCTACTTTTAGTAGTTAAACCTGTTATTGTTTACTTATACCGATGTCTTTTATAGAACAACGTTTTATATTTTACTATTAAATCTTTACCCGTAATAAATAATTTACAATGGTCTATAAAACCCTTTGCGAAATGTTTACCTACAGAAGAAAGTAGAAAACATTTTATGTGGATACTAAAGAACCCTGCAGATGGTCTGATATCCAATTCAATGAAATCCGATATCTATTATAATGACTACAATAATTTATATTGTATTGTGTAAATACTATAATTTATTTGGACAATCGCATTTTATTTTGTTGTCCAATTTACGAATTTAAAGGAAAATAAATTATCTCTTAACATTTTCAAATCATTTTATCATACAACGATTTTTTTCGTCTAATTATTTAAATAATGTTGATTCTCATTAATACAAAGTAATAAATTATTATAATTTATAAATAAGGATTGGAAGTTATAAGACTTTCATATTGTTTTATATTCGATCTCTAATAGACCGAGTTTTAAATCCAAACCATACTAAGGTAAGTTTAAAAATCTAAAATGCAAAATACATATTTTACATATTTCATTATTTTTTTGAAAAAAGTACATATCTCATTGATTTCCATACGCATATTAAGTATATTTAATACTTAGAAAAAAAAATTATTTTTTTTTAACCTATGTATTTTAAATAATATTTACTATAAGATTAAGTATTATTTTACATAAGTATTTATTGTCATCGTCGCAGTCAAATATTAATTTGACGACAGCGGAGTGATGTGCAATTTAATCTACGAGTATGTAGCGTTAATATGCCGAAATATTATCTTATCGTTGATAAGTTTAAAGTTATTAATTTTACTTATCGTAAATTTATATATTGTTTATTCGTTAGTAAATTTTTTTTACATACTTGACATTTTACATTATTTATTTTAAATATTTTTTTTTTTTAATTTTGAATAACTTTTTTACATATTTAACATTTTTTCATTCATATCTTGAAAAATTTTTGTGTATATTCACATATATTTCCTGTTTTAGGTTCTATAACTTTTAAGCTCTAGTTATAAATATTATAATACTTTAATAAAACCAAACACGAAAAAAAAACAATTTTCAATGCGAGCATATTGATTATACAACACAATATACGAGAATATATTATGTAACCTTTGCGCGTACCTATAACTATATAAGTACTGCAACAATATAGCTTCGGTCTATGCAATATAATTTTATATTATTCACCTGATATATTGTGCAGACTTAAAAATTTCTGCGGCCACTTCTCTCTCTTCCTTCTTGTAGAGCACATATGCTACAATAATATTATAGTTATTGCCATCAATTTTAGTTCTAATGTGTAGGGAAGAAGATGAAGAGTTCAGTAAACATTTTTTTTATATGATAAAATATAAAAAAAAAAAACCATTTCAATAGTATACGTTATATGACCCAAGATAACTAACAAATATTCCTGTAATAATTACCTGTAAACAATTACGGCCGCCGACAAGACGCCTAGGATCATGAACCAAAACCACAGGAAGACGTAGATCTTTTCATTGACGGCGTTAAGCGGCAATATACATATTGAGTCATGCGTTTCCACTTCGCCGGATACGCCGAATTTATGAAAAATGCATTTGGTCATCCTAGGAAATATGAATATCATCGGATCTACTCGGTCTTCTTGGTCGCTCTCCAGAAACCGGATCACGTCCACGCCAAACGTCAGAAACGCACCGTCAAAGAAGCGGTTCATCATAAACATTTGGCCTGTAGTAATCAGAAAAAAAAGAAGTTCGACTTAAATATTTGTCATTTTTGATATGATTTTCTGCATAAAAATGTAATAAAACAACAACTTAGTTTTATATTTTTAATCGTTCAATAGTCAGTCTTTGATCAACATAATATCGTCGTCGCAGTATTATAATTTTATTATAACATGTTACATTAAAACCGACTAGATGACAAATAACAATATATCTTTGGCACAAAATCATAATATTTTAAAGCATAAAACACAGTTTAAATATCAAACGTGGATAATGTAAACAGTAAATAAATGTCATCAAAAATAGAGCACTTTTCTCAATTCATATGGATTTGAAATAATTAACTAAAAAGTATAATGTTTATATAGCGTTTTAAATGCAATCATTCTTATTTCATAATATGAATATAAACTAATTTTATTTATGTAACGTTAACGTTTAAAAAAATAATTTTATCACTTAGTTGTAGCCATAAACCATAATTATTATAATAACAGTTAAAACTAAATTATTTCGGTAATTTGAATAAATAAAATATTCTTTTAATAGAAAACATATTTTATAATATTTATAACATATACCTTATAATAAAAATTCTTAAAAAATTTTTGTATTAAATATTATGATACATAATTATTTTTCCAAGAACATAAGGGGCTGGGCAAAGCATCAAAAATATTATTATATCACAAAAAACTACTTAAAAAACGTTAACGAACTCAAATTTCTATAATTATAAATATTTACGGTAAAAATGTATGTTTTGAACACATTTGTATCATTTATAATTTGATAAACAATTGAATCGTTTGCTTTAAAATAGTAAATACTAATAATATTAATAATCCATATTTATTTAATTTTGGAACTAATGATGTAAAGCTCTAAATTATAATAAGGATCAAATATTTTGAATGAATATTTAAGTTTTAAATGTGATATATAAATATAAATTAGGCAATAACGCTTAACCTTTAATATCAATAACGTTTTATTTGGCATTTAAAAACAAATAAATAAATATTACACGGATAACTAAAGATTAAATTTAAAGACATGGTTAGTATCTTAGATTTCGGTTAAAAAATTCAACTAAATCTAGATCCATTAGAATCTACGATAAAAAAAAGTTGACAGCAAAAAATTATTAAATATAAATTTAAACGACAAACTATTATTAAGTAATAATAATTTATGAATCGTAGATGATACTAATAATAAATAACTGATAATTACATTGTGAAATGATATTTAAATTATGCTAGTGGTTGTGACATAATTAAAAATGGTCATTTGAATATTAGATCTCGATAATACTGTAATTATTACTTGTTAATAATTTCTCTTTACAATTTCGACTTTTTAATAAAAATTTACAAAATAGATAATTGAAACATATTTTCTCCGATTATTATCATAACAGTTATCATGAAATCGTTTTTATTTCTTCCTACTTCAGAAAGACCCTCAGAACCCCTAAGGGGAATCCAACCCCAAAAAATACGCTACTATATTGTTTAATAATATTTAGCCATATACAAGTTCATGTACTCGGCTCTGTTTAATTCAAATTTCAATTTTATACCCGTAACTTTCGTTTGTGACCTATTTGTACTGGTTTCTACAGTTAAACCCTTCGCTTGTGCTCAATTCCTATATAAACAGGCAATTCACGATTTACCCTAGGTTTGCTGACAACATAGACCCGTTGTATATTTATAAATAAAACCACTTTTTGGTACTGTACTACAGTTATAATACAATCAGAAGAACACAAGTGCATGTATATAAATGCTGTAGAGAATACCGTCCTAAAAAATCCAACCTCTTCCCATCAACGTACAGATATATATTATGCTGCTGTTTAATAATATACTAATAAGACGACAAAACAACCGATAAATGGCCGTCGGCGGAAATTACTGCAGTGTTGCAGTGTGCGAAACGTAACTGTCGTCTGTATGAATAATAAATATATTATATATAATTATATATATATATAGGTACAAATTGCGACGGTACCAATTTTATGAGATTAGTCTGACTAGAGCTGTACTCGTAAATTGGGCACGATTACAACACTGGTCGGACACACAACAAGAGATAAAAAAAAGTATACAATTACTAATATTGACCGCTAGTTCTGCAGTTTTGACACAACAGTTAATGTATACCTAAAAATCAGTTCCGAACCTTGCCACCGTCGCCACACGATTTTTTAAATGGTAGTTATTGAAAATTCTCTGTTGTTTTTATAATATTATACATTATTATTATATAAAACCTCATATATTTATTGTCGCGACCCAATTGATCGTTGGGCGTGAGCCGAATTTCATTTGTACCGCCATCGATATAGACAATTATCATTGTCGTAAGAAAACGACGATCGTTTCGGATGTGATTTTAAAATATTATACTCTTATTGGTCTTATGCGCGTATTGTATAGATACCTATTGTTATTATAATTACCATCAATTTTTTTTTTCAAAAAACCAATGACACTGTTATTGTTATCACTTTATTAGTAGATCTTTCACGACGATTTTTTAAACGTAATTGAATAAAAAATTCACCGCAGTCGCGTGCCTGTATAATTATTTAATACAATACACGATAGATATTTTTGACAAAATTACAATAATAGTGTATACTTTTGAAACTTATTTCGATAGTTCTTAAATATTATATTCACCGTTATCATTGCAATAAGTGAATATTGAAATTTAATGTAATTATCAAAACAAAAAACAAAACTTTTCAAAAAAAAATTTTAAATACTATTTCTGAAATACGCATATTATTATGGCACAACATTTAATAATTATAATATCTTTAAAAAATTACCGATTTAGTTCAATGATTTGTTCGGTATTTTTTTTCGGACAATTTGCATTAGATATATAAATATTAGCTTTAAAATACATTATCATCCGTTGCAGTAAGCGGAAAATATTAAAATTGCATGCTTTCTATATGCTTCGATCGGTGGTCATACACCTGGACCCCAGACGACGAGATTGTATGATAGTGGGCCGAAATCACGTTTTCCCACGCACCCGGATTTGGCAGGTGGTCGTCGTGTCAGTGGATGATAAAGAATATTATAATACTATCGTAGGTAGGTATATACACGTTTATTATATACAGTAATCCATTTATAAACCGCTATACTAATTTGCTCAGTCGGAGCTTGTGATTTTGAAAACAAAAATCTTCAAGGAATATTGTACCGTTAGGTGTTTTGGATAAAAATCTATTTTATTTTCTATTATAGTGGTTTTAAGGATTTTCCGCGTTTTGTGGCAAATAATAACAAATAATAGTTTTTAAATGTGGACATTTTATTTTAAAACGAACTTTTAAAATGAGGCAATGTGGGATGACCTTAAGCTTAACAAAAGATAATGTTATGCAATATTTTTTATTTGTACATCACATACATTATGCAAGTATAAACGTAAAACCACACACAATAAAAATAACACATTATATTTTATATAAGAATTGTTTTTGCATTAAATCTTTTTTAATTTTAAAGAATCTTAGAAACTATGTTAACAAATACACTACCTATCTTTAACTTAAAAGTTATCAATCAGGACAAACTATAGAAAGTTAGTGTTATAAGAACATTATAATTATAATCGAGATACGTATAATATTATGCACCCAAGACTTACCCACGACGTTTAAGAGCGCCATCATTTCACATAAGTAGTACCTGTAGGTCCACCAGTTGTGGTACCGCAGGTTCTCCCACAGATAGTCGAGCAAAATTTTTTTCTTTTGCTTCTTCTCGGCATCTGTACAAATGGCAACATCCAGGTCCATCATTAGCGCCCGGATTTTGCCGCCTTCCCAGTGTTTCCACAGCCATCTGGGCGTATAGAACAATATCGCCTACGTTAAAAATATATAATACATTTAATTTTACAAGGATAATAATATAAAATTAAATTAATTATTATAAATTAATAATAACGGCTGCGTTTTAAATGGTACCTAATAAGTTTCAGTCTCACTGCAGTACATGCGTATACTAAAATACTTGCTTCACCTTTAATCATTCTACACTTTAATTCTCAATCGGGCACATCATCTATATTATACCACTCATAAATATTACTAGGAAATTTAAGAAGGTGCAATCTTATTTTATTAAAAAATACATAAGCGTACGACAACACAAGTTTTAAATATTTATTTCGACAGACACAAAAATCACACCATCCTCCTGTAACTAAGAAAGATTTTGCAGAAGATGCATTTTCATTACTTACAATCTGGATTAAGATTATTCTGATAAGTAGCAAAACAGATAGTGTTATAAACTAATGTACCTATTTAATTCAGTGTTTTTCATGGAGTACAAAAATAACAATATAAAAAGTACTGGTGAGGTCAATAGCCACAGTACATGCATGTAGCGCATGAGCTACAATAAAAACGAATGAAAATAATTATCTATATTTAAAAAAAAGATCTTTACAGGGATAATTGGTTGCAAGTATTCATAAAATTATAAAATATTGGTTACATATTTTTTTTTTCTGAAAGAGTATAAAGCTGAACCCCCTACCCTTGTAACATCTTTACACCATAGTAATTTACTATTCACCGACATCGCGAAAGCATACCTACAAACATGTGTACTCGATAAGTATATATACCAAATGCACGTCACATATACTATTTAATAATATAATATGACGAGTGACCATATTATGTACGATGAGAGACCAAACACGCGGTAGCGATCAATCATTTTGCGGACCGAACAACAAATTGGCCTACATCCCGTACACATACACACACCCCCTCGCGATCCCCGCAGTGGACTTCGTTTTTATTGGCCAGTATATTAAAAATAATTAGAAGTAATTTTATATTTTCTTTGGCACTATTGTCGTAGTTTTGGCACCAGTCTGGGTTATGTGCACATTGTGTCAACCTTCACCGAGAGTGGACTTTTTTATTATTATTTTTTTATTTCTTCGTTTGTTTGGTTCGGTTTTTTCTATTCTTTTTTTTTCGTGCGGCCGTTGAGTGATTTACGAGACACGTTTACCTCTATTCCTTTCGCTACCCTCTCCCTCCATCCCACACCCCGTGAGAAAACGAGCTAAGAAACCCGAATCAGACGTATGGGAAATATTTCGACGGAATGTGACGAGACCCAACGGTTGGACAGACAGCCGTCCATCGACGCCTGTACGAGAATATAATATAATGATATTATAATATAATATTCGGCAGAGCGCCCGTCCTGCCGTCGCCATTCTGTAAAATTTCTTAATTAGAATTGTTTCGTACAGCGGTCTGCAGCGGCGGGACCAAATGGCGTCCAGTTGAATTAATTTTAATGTTATAACTTATAATCTACTCTAGCCAGAGTGAACAGTCGTCGTTACGGTCGGATTATTATTATTATTTGTTTTCTTCATATATATTTATCATATTTTTTATTTTTTATTTTTCATAATTCCACGAAAATTAAGGCCAACACAGTTCAGTTATTTAAAGCTGTATAATAATACACTGTCTCTGAGTATACATATAATAAGATCATAGCAAGGATGCTTTACAACCATTGTCTCTGAACGATGGCCTTAATCCACCATCACATTTTTAGGCTAATCTCGATATAGAAAAAAAATAATAACGTAAAAATGACGCATCTTGAGATCGAACACAAAGCAGACTGAAACGGCAGCTAATGAAGAATAAAATTAATGACCATCCAGTGAGTGATGAACTGAAAATTAAATACCAAATATTTTGGTGTACCTACCGATAAAATGTTAGTGTTACACATAAAGAATACGGTTATTTACCTCAAAAGTATTCTCTATAAAAAAAAAATAAATATATTTTGACGATCTATAGGTAATATATTATTCAGTATTATAGTTTAGTGGAATATTTACAAAATACACGTGCCCAAAATAAGAGTATGTATTTTTTTTTTTAATTTATTGTTGTGCGCCTATACCAAATTCGTGATATACGAACACACGTGTACTGTATACACATGCATAGTTAACTATTGAAATTGCAAAAAATTATGTTAAATCTAACAGTTATATTCCTATTGTTTTCAAAGCAATTATTGGGCGTATAATATTCAAATAAATATATTATATACGTTACTCGTATCTAGAAAACGAATTTTAATTAATTAATTAAAATAATATTATTATCGTGTACGATATGAATAATATTTATAAAATATGCAATATATCTACTCATTTTTAGTACGATGAAAAAATTTAAATATCAATCACTCACATAGTATAATTAATAATATTATTTTTTTAAACATGAGTTTACCGTTTTGTCGACATAGTGAACTTAGTGAAAGATGGGAAGCTTCAAATCCATTTACTATTTAATATAGTATTCAAATGTATATTATGTTTATTGTTTGAACACAAATTATATATAGCTTTGTGCTCGGAGTCCGATGACAAAAAATATCAAAACCTAAAATAAATGTTTATATCTAAGAAAACGCTTAACCTAAGGAACATACCGATGATAATTTATTCGCAATAAAACACCACGGTTAGACATCCCGTCCAACAGCGTAATTCAGGTATCTTATATCACTCGAAGGGAGCGAAAACTTAACATCTCGTCTCTTGTCGTCTTATTACGAATTTATTTGGTCGAGTGGAAATTCGCACGAGTATAATATTATAATATTAACGAATGAGCTTGAAGAGTAAAAAGTACAGGATGAAGTGCAAAAACGTCAAAAATAAATAATATGACCAAACTCGTGTGAGGCTATTATATCATAACTTCAAGCTATTTGATTATTCCGTATAACATTTTAAATATCAGAAAAAAAATAATCATTATAAAAGTCTTGATAAATCTTGTACTTTTTTTATCCAGTTTTATTTATTGTGCTACTCCAATAGTTAATAAAACAACGCGTAAATTATTATTTTATTCAATTTTGTTTCCTTTTACAGAAAACGTACAATGGTCATTTTGAGTAGAATTCAATCGTTAACACCTAAAAAAAAAACTATACCTATTGATACAAGATAAAATGACAATTAAAGGACGTTCTTAATTTTTTTGGTCACGCATATAAATAATAAATATTAAACGTAAAAAACTCAGTAGCATCAGCAAAAATCGAAGTGATAGGTATGCTAACCTATGATACATATATATTAACGTACAATATCATATCTAACTTCTTTATCTAAATTTTTGTAGAAAATAAAAACTTAATAATTAACAAGGTATAATATAAAAAATGCAATTAATGTACATTTCTAACCTTTAAGGGGATTTAATACATTATAATTTATATGTTACACCGTGTTCACCTTTTATAATTAGAGCAGCTCGTTTACCGCCTGTGTATGCGGTCCAATTGACTTGAATATTTCAAAACTAGAACATTACCTACATCGAAAATTAAAACGGAAAAATCAAACTCACAAATAGTTGTTAAGTATACTACACGTTAATTATTCTAAATTTAGACATAATTATCAATGTCGAAAGTCCATCAGCTTGACTTAGTGAATAGAAAACTTTTACTCATCATAGAGTTCGGTTTTCGTGGCAATACCTAAGTGTTAATTCATAACCCAAATCCTGTTTTTTGTGATACCATGACGTCAAAAGTAAAAAGTATACGAGATGCACATTTTTTATACTTATAGTTGCAAATTCGGAAAACTTACTTAATCATAAATCGTTTTGAAAACGGAACTCTATTTCACCACGCAGCAACTCTAATATTATATCTGAGTGCTAACACGATACTATTACCGCATATAATATCGTCTTATATTAGAACGATGCGAACCGCTGCAGTGCAAGGATAACAAAGGATTGATATCAGATGACGCAAATATGTGCATACAGGATATTTCTAGCTGGAAAAAACTCGACAAAAAGTTAATGGATTCAACCAATGATTATATAATGGACGCCGGTTACAAATGCTTTTAAATTCCCGAACATATGTTTTAGATCTACGAGTGTGACAACTCGTCCGAACATCTATTTTGACAAATAATCACGATAAGTGAGTATAGGTAAGCATGCGAGTATATATCTATGGCTATGGTACATAAGCATATAAGTATAGGTATACTTGAGAACACAATTCTTTTAATAAAACTCATTATTTTTTAGCCGCTATAGGCCGCAACCGCTATAGGTATATGTACGACCAACTACAACACTTAAAACATGTACGTATCGTGTACGATTAACACAGAAATGAATTATTGAATTGCAAATACGATTATAGAATTATGAATTCCTTTTCAATTTTTAAAAAAATGTTAAAAAACATATATTTTCAACGTACACATATTATTGCCAACAATACTCTATATTAATTGACATCGCCATTCATACTGCTCCAAAAGATATCTCTCAAAACAATCCAAGGTATAAGACCATAAAAAAAAAAAATCGATAAATAATATTAAGTGAAAGATCTTACAGAAACAATAAATACAGTAGGTATATCTGATATAATATTATATTGCAAAAAATCGAATAGCTCTCGTTCGAATTCAATCGATAAATGTTAACTGAAATTTTTTGTTTAAATATCTACAATACATTTTATAAAAGTATAATATAATATAATATGAAATTTAAATTTAAAATTAATTTAAAAAATACGTGAATGACTGTTGAATGGTATAGTTGATCAAGTTGAAAATGTACTCGTATATTAAAACCAATGATAATATTCACGTGTGATATACGTAATATTATATTGTTGTCATCGCACGAAATAAACGTATTTTCATATCAAGTGATCTCGATATACGTGGATGGTGACGACTTTTGGCCGAAGATTATAAATCATCTCACCGTGCTATTTCCTGTCAATAAATTCTCTTCTATTATTA